GGAAACACAACTGTGAAAACCGCATTTAATTTGGTGGATTAGTTTTCACGCGATGCCGAATAAATCTACAGATAGACAGACAGTGAGGGAAAGTTCTTAAAAATTATCATTTTGCTAAAACCAATAGATGCTATTGGTTTTATTAAGATCCGTCACATTTATTTTTCTTTACTTCAATTAGTAACAAATTTATAATGGATATTAGTAAAATTAGATCGTGTGGTCCCAATATAGAATAGGCCACCCCTTCCTTTCTCGTGGCTGACGTAAAAGTCGACTAAGGGAGGGCTAGTGATGGGCAGCAGCGTCTTTCTTAAAGCATCTCTAAAGCCTAACTGCGGTTGCCAATCCGCCTATCGAACGTGGCAACTAATGGCAAACCCTTCCAAGGGGGAGGCTTATGTTCAGCAGTGGACAGTTAAAGGCTGATATGATGATGATGATGATGATTAGTAAGATTACTTAAAAAAATCTAAGCGACAATGAAATCTCGTATCCAAATCCGTTGCATAGTTTAAAAGTAAGAGAAGAAACCGATGGACGCGGATACTAGCTTTGTTTTGTACAATACGTTAAAGATCCTCGTCGTAGGTCGGCATTCAAAACTTGATCGACCTGTTATCTACAAAGCCACAAAAATGCGCTAAGATTATAAAACCAATTCGCGCCGTTACCTAACCTGTTTCTACAATTAGGTACTTATAAAAAATATATAAAAAAACGTATCCTATTTATTAGCAAAATAGCACAAACATCAAAATATTAAAATGTATTTAATATTTTGATGTTATGTGGTATCGTGTACCAAATACGTAAAAAATCCCAGAAAATATATTTTGAAAAAAAAAAAAAAACTACTCAAAGATTACACTGACCTATTAAAAACACTATCGATTGTCTATGATAACATGGCATGCGCCTCCAAAATCCAAAGAATTAAAAATGTGTGAGTAAAAATATTTTCAAGGTTTCAACCAAGGAACCTGGCCAGACCACTAGTAAAGAGGTCTCTTTACAAACAAAAACAGAGCATTACGTCTGTATATGGTTTGAAGTAAAAAGTTGAAGGGGCGTGCTATGGTAACATAGTCCAATCTATACCTAACTTGTTTTTGAATATGTTTTGCATTAAAGTTGACTCTTCATTTATTAAAATTTGAAACTAAATGTTATTGGGCGATACCTTTCTTAAGATCTACAGTAAAATTATCTTAATAATTTACTACGACAAAAAAAATAATAATAATAAACGACGAAAATTTCGAAACTGTAAAAAAATGACATTATTTAATTCTCCATCTATACGAGCGATATCATTTAGTCAACAACCGGTGAGTTGCGATCTCGTTTGTGTACAAAAAACAAAAGGACAGCGAGAGAGAGAGACGTTCATTATTACAAGTGTGTGTATCGTAAAATCGTCGCGATCCCGTCCCGGCGCATTGTTACTTTGACGTGCCGCCGCGGGGTCAACGACTCGTTTGGATTTCGTTCATATCCGAGATTCTCGAGACTAGGGAGTTAGCCGGCTTGGCTACACTTGTAACCTTTTGTAAGTCTTATGTAGGTGAGGTATGGGTCTTATCGGGACTTGGTACTGTTCCCGTTGACGGTTCAGGTAATAAATAATAACCGTAGCGTGTACTTATATCCATAATAGTGGTTTCGATGGGTGGTACTGGTGTTCCACAATGTTACTGAATCAAACTAAAAAAGCTAAATGTATTCCTAGTTATTAAAGATTATAATTAAATATTTTTGTCCATAAAAAGACTTTGTCTTTTTTGACAAAAAAAAAAGTATAAAAAAAGATTTCAATTGTGACAATAACATTTATTTTGATTTAAAAACTAAACAACTAAACAGATTTTGATAATATTCTATATTCCGAAATGGGAAGCTTCTTTCTTGAAATCAATTGAAAATAGGTAGAGCAGCGATGAGCATTGGACTGATAAATACCTAAACGAACAAAGAAAAACATGTAGATCCTGTTGATACACATAATTTGTGTATCAAAGCATTTGAAGAACAACCGCGGTAGGTTAACGAGGTGATTTTGGCCAAAGAACGCACCGCCCGAGGCACGAACCCGTGAGATGGGCAAAAAACGACATTTAACAGGCGGTGTGGCGCGGCGAACGTCTCGATGCAACGACCTTCGCGTTACATTGACGACGGGCGATGCGCCTGCGCACACGCCAGGTGCGAATCCTACGCAGGCCGGGATCTGATACAGTTGCTGACTCAATAATGGTGTATTACAAAGTATTTGCTTCTCCAAAATAACTTTCCTTCACTTTATGATTTGATTGGTTAACTTTGTTAACCGTTATCTTGTTATAATTACGTTGTTATCTCTCAATTGACATTAAATGATTGTGTAATAGCGATATTTATTTAAACTTATCCAATTATCAACAATGAATAATGCATCGTCAGTGTTTTTTTACAACACAGGGGGCAACCGAGCATGCGGCTCACCTGATGGTAAGTGACTACCGCCGCCCATGGTCACCCACAACACCTACGGCATTGCAGGTGTGCTGCCGGCCTTTTAAAAAGAAATATGCTCTTTTCTTGAAGTTTACTTATACTATTTTAAGTCATTGTTCCTTATGGAAGTCTATGGGGAGGTCTATGTTCAGCAATGGAGTGTTAAAGGCTAATTGTGATGATGATGACGATGACATAGTGTTCTTGGCTTCAGTTTCATAACTGTCTGTTCATAAATTAAACATTCTATGTTTTGATCACACTGCGTATTGATGATTTGTTCCGTTTATGTATTTTATCCTAGCCGTGTGGTCCCTGCATAGAACGGGCTAATCCTTGCTTCCCCGTGGGGTCGTAAGAGGCGACTTATGAAACTTGAATGATTGAAGGATAGGCAGCAACGTCTCTCTTAAAACGTGACCAAAGCCTATCTGTGGTTGCCAATCCGCCTGCCAAACGTGACAACTATTAGCAAAACTGTCCTTATAGGGGAAGCCTATGTTCAGCAGTGGACAGTTAATGGCCGATATGATATGATAACTTTATCGTTTTCTGTACTCTTTTACAGCATAATCAAAACAATGACCACTCTCAGACTTTCTATTGTGTGAATATAAATTATATTTTAATTTTGTTTTAACCTAGTGTGAACCGGGGGAAAGGGATTGTTAGCAATGGAGACTAAAAATCCCATTGCTAGCAATATACCCAACCAGGTCGACCTCCTTGTGGTTCCCCCTGGAAACTATCATGGTTAATTCCTGATGAATTCATCATGATGGGCTAACTGGCCTGTTTTCATTCTCATCTATCACCCTTCACCACTGGTGCTCCGCCAGCGTATCCCGTTAGCGCAGGCGGGATTACCATTCCATTTTCATCCACCAAAAAAAAAAAACCCAGTGTGAACGAGAAACCAGTCAATCTAAATAATCAATAAACATTTTATTCCTAATAAAGTTCTTTTAATAGTAATCTATGTAATTACTACAAATACATTAATTAATCAGTTGTCTTATGCAGTCAAAACGCGTGGCTGCGCTTCGACGCCCGGCGGCGACAAATCGCGTCTACAGTCGAACAGCATTAGCGATTTATTTACGTCCTCAATAAGAATAGAGCGATTTGCCTCATTATTTATTATTACCAGTCGCAATATTGGTCACGTCCCATTCAATAGACGTGTACTTAAAATTCATGTAATTTCTAACATAGAAAAGCTTTTCTCCTTGTTTCATTAAAACTAAAACCTATTTTTATAAACATATTTTTACTATAAGACTGTTGTGTTGCTTTCTTTGGGGCACTGGTGATTTGTAACACAGGTTCATCAAAACCTACTGCAAGCATTAGTCTCTCACAAAATTGGTCTTACATATCAAATTGTACCTCAAGTTGTCACTTTATACTACTATGTGTACTGTGAAGAGAAAGTAAACCATTCATTCATTCATTCATTTCTTTTAAATCTATACTTATAATAAATCTGTAGAGAGGTCAATTCTGTACATGGAATATATTTCCAAAATAACTATCAGGCGGTGATTAGTGATCGATACTGATGCCAAAAATGCAATCAGTAAAATTTTTGTCTGCCTGTCTGTATGTTCGTTATAGAAACAAAAACTACTCGACGGACTTTAACGAAACTTGGTACAATTATTCTTCATACTCCTGGGCAGGTTATAATATACTTTCATCACGCTATGATCAATAGGAGCAGAATAGTAAAGGGAAATGTTGGGAAAACGGGAGAAGTTACTCCATTTTTATGCTTCCGCCGCGTGTGCAGCCTTAATGGCAACTTTTTAAAATGTAAAAATGTCCACCCGTGCGACGCTGGGACGGGCCGCTAGTTAAGAATATAGTTCTAAAGAATCAGACTTCGATAGCTGCAATAGTTTTTTTATTTTTATCTATTATAAGTTTCATATTTTTATGAGTTAGCTCATGACTTAGCTATTCTTGATACGCCATTTAAAAGCATATTGGTCTTCCTACTTCTGAAATTCACCAACAACTTTGTTATAACAATTTATAATTAATAAATGGGGCAACACATTTTTTTTAAATTAATAACTTGCAACTATGTACATTAGCCCCTCCTCGTGTTTAAACTAGGCTACCCATCAGTATCCTAGGCAACAGCACTATTCCATGATACTGTATAAACTTTAAAAATACAATCTTATGGTATGTACTCTTCATATTAAGTTTAGTGTATGTAATATACTACAAAAAAAAAAAATTAAACTTGTGATAAACAGGTATCAAAAACATGCGTAGAAAGCTTTGCTCTTAACCACAACATTTTCTTTGCATAAGACATTTTTTGAACAATGTCAAAAGCATGCTTACTATAAACAGTTATTAGAAACTTTTTTGTAGATGTTAGACATCGTCACATATCTATCGCAAATTTAACTTTTGTGTGGTAATACTGAAATTGTCACATAGCAGAGATACAATATCTGTTGACAAATTTAACCATTACTCATATGTACCTTTCAATGAGGTTGTGGAGCGCCTTGAAGAGTAAGGAACGGCACTCGTAGGATAGCCCACTGTCCCACGATCCCTGATCGCCTTCTGTAAACAAATAACAGGTACAGTCAGAAAAATCAAGGTTGGATCGACGAGAATAATTACTTTTTCAGTATGAGAAAAATTTGTTATAATTCCGTTATTTCAGTAACATTAAAATCCAGATCGCTGTGTGTAGAAAAATTCAATGGGGAAAATTTGATACACCGTTGAATTATCAGGAATATTATTTACAAAATATTACTTGAATGATCGTTTCAGTTATTTCGAGATTTCAAATCAGAATAGCACCTATAAAAATTTGAATAAAAATAATGTAAATCACTCTAAAAGGTACATTAATTATATTTTAAATTTTTGAAGTAGTAAACTAAATAATTTTGAAGATCCTAAAATTGTTTTCCAAGATCACACACGTAAATAAATGTGCCAAACGGATTTACTATGAATTTAAGAGTAAAAAGAAGGAGAAATTACAAAAGGTCTTTGTGATACCACGGAACTTGTAAGTTTTATTTATGTTTGTAGAAGGGTAATAGCCTAATTTGTTAGCCAGCTGAGATGTGACTTATCCTAGTTTAATATCTACAACCCACATACTGCATAGCGAAGCATCTGCTTTGGTATATCTATATCGGACAACAAAGACATGACAACAAACAGCCCTGAAACTGTAGTCGTATATTATTTTCTCTCGGTAATCATTAAGAGGAAATAATATACAACTGGGTAGTGCATGATTGCATACTGTGATATTATGAATGGTTACAGTTGCATCGCAATACTGAATTAGAACTTTACACTGAGCCTGGTGCTATTTCTGGTGCAGGTTAGAAACGAATCTTAGATCAAAATAAACTTCGAGTGTCTATTCTAGAGCTAAACGTTCTACATTAGTATCAATACACATTTTTCCTTGTAGTAAATATATACAAATAAAATAATACTAAGAAATGCCTCCATTGTACTATTGTGATGTAATTTTACAACATTATTTGTTTAATAGAATTTTCACTCGACTGCAGTATAATGATACATATTAATCTCCGATTGCCAAGGTCGGTACACTATTACAATAGTGCAACGTTGATAGAGAGGCAATAAAATAGCTTGTCGCGGTGCAAGTAGGCATCACTGGAAATAGCCGTTGTTGCATTCGCAATCGGAAGATAAACTCGGCCTATCACCGGCGTTACATACATGCGAAAACAAAACGGCGCGCGCGGCGTTGCCGCTTAGTGTCGATAATGCTGTCCCTGTCTATCTAGGAGGCGGGGCGGGGGCGACCCGTGTGACGTCACGATGGCCCGCAGCGCACGTGCTTGTGTTTGTCGCGCGCGCCGCGTACGACACACATGCGAAACAGTGTTTAGCGTCCGCTAATAATTGGCATTGAAATTTCTTTGTAGATCCTACCGCAACCGCATAACAACATTGAATATTCGCACGCCTATTTGCAACTGCAGCACCGGACTCTAGCTCGGTATACGGTCAATAAAACGACGACAAAAGATTGTTATCAAAGATTGAGGAATAATCTCGAACAAAAACAATCAGGGGGTGATGCCTTCTGTATAGATAATGTTATCGTTCATTGTCCATCGAGCTTATTAGAATGAGACATATTGATATTTTTTGCGTTCGCACCCGTTAGCCATCACGCTGGAGCGCTTCCAAGTGAGCAGCCTTGACATTCGTGTTCCAGGTGTGCGCGTGCCATCTCCTGTCCGCCGCAACTGAACTAGTTTTTCCAGTATCTAGCACAAGTCAACATTATAAAGCGTTTTCATTTGTCTGCTTATTGTTGTGAATTTCCATGCATATTAAAATTTTTTCACGAAATCAACTATAAAACATTGGCTAATCAAGCGAAGAGCACGTATTGCATTGACGTAAGACAACATGTGTTTGATTAAGATATACCTAAATTTAATTTGACGCAAGACAATATTACGGTACTTGTGTAATTTTCGTTGTAATAGGTTAAAAAATAATGACATAAGCAGAGCTGCCTATATGACTTAGATACATTACACACACATACAATTGACAATGATGAATTAGATACTACAGGTTTTCTAGAAACAGAAGATTAAAAAATACAAGCAGCCAAGGAAAGACGTCTAATTTAAGAATACCCTGACGAGCGGGAGATGTTAGATCAGTCGCCGGGAGTAGCAGAACACTTTGTTCTGCTACTACCGACTAGGCATTGTTGACGATACAATCGGTGCGTGCCAGTACACTGTATAACCAAGCAGCGTAACATAAGTTTTGATAGTTTAACAAAGATGATATTTAATCAAAAACTACTCTTTAAATTCAATGTTATTTTAAAATCAATATGAACAACTTAACGTAAGAACAATCCAAATTTATTGTTAAGTAGATATTAGAAAGCTTAGTACTTTGGGGATATCTCAAGACAGTGCATAAATCTCAAGCTATATTAGATGTTTGATAGAAAAGTAGGAATCGTATATAATATAATGTTAGCAACCGCTATTGTTATGCATGAATACATATGATGATCGCACCTACGGAGTGCAATTATCAAGCTCGCCAGTTCAACACCATCACCACATCCCAAGGTCGTTAACGAAACGAACGGTCCGCTTACTGTATTCCAATACCGATATACTCAAGTACCGGAACAAGTCACGACTTAACCCGCACCGCGGCGCTATCGCGATCGAGTCTGCTCAAGGATTTAAGTCGATCGATGGGGCATCCACCATGGGAATTGGTGTTACCAATTTATAAGACGTAATGGACGTGAGGCGGATAGCGTTCTCTCGCGTTTAAACTGTGCGAGCCGAATTGCGGGGTCAAGACGATTATGCGGTTTCGCGGTGAGATGAAAAGATTTCTACATCGCTCCAGTTTGGAGTCTTGTAAGCAGAGTAAGAGCTACATGGTATTTCGTTTCAATATTCTTTTATTTTTATAATTCCGATGAGTAGTGATACTGAAGCGAATGCGATGCATTTCTTTAATGCAATAATGAGTATAGTTTAAGGTTCAAGGTCGCATATTTTGCGGGTGGTGCGACGGTTGGCACTACCTTGCGCCGGGATCGATAGCGGGCGACGACGCGCGCCGCCGCGCCGCTGCCCCCGTCCTGATGTGAACGTAATCGCCTCGCGATTATCACTATTGTTGCCATCGGAATGTTTGTTTGGAAGCCACGGCGCTAATGGTTAATGTCTAAGATAAGGCTGCGATAACGGAACGCTACGTAATGTCTAACGAGATAAAAACATCTCAATGTTGACTAGTTGTGCAGCCGCAATTTACGAATACTAATGGTGTAGTAGAATGAAAGTCAAGGTGTTGGGTAAATTCAATATTTGGTTTTGTCACGGACAATCAGCAAGTAGCTCACTTGATTGTAAACAGAACGTAGATTTGAGCAATATCACGGAAAAACAAGCACTGATTATTGGGGCACCCACGCATCTTGTGTTGACATTAGGCACCGAGAATTAAGCTAGGGCAATCACTGGCACGAGAAAATTAACCTTATCATGTTAGTGTTTGCGCTAGTTTTTAAATAAGAAAGAGTAGATGAGTAGTGCACTTTATGCACATTTACTCACAACAACATAAGCAATGGTGCATTATAGCTGAAGTGAAACGGTTATCACTATATGGTTATAGATGTTGTAAATTCGGTATCTGAACAAAAATGTTTGGAATCAACAATTGGCATCCCTTGGAATATTTCTTTGTGTACGTACTATAAAAACCATTTGTTAGTAATGAGTTGGTGTTTAATTTTCAAAGATTTCCCAAATAATAGCTTTCTCTATATAAGTATCATAGATTCAAACGAGAAATGAGAAAATAATTTAACTATATACGGATATGACATACTTGTTTGTTAGATCTAATCGAAACGTTAACTTTGTATATTCTCAAGTGTAAAGGTGAAAGTTTGGCTGTACTGTTTTATAGTACGTGACGAATAGTCACGGATTATATGAGTGTTCTGTGACATGCATTATCATTACCAACTTGTCTTTTGATAAATTAAACGCGGCTTGTTACGACATGTAAATTTATTGCCCATGAATGAAAACTCGATGATCCGTAGAACAAAAACATCTACGATTTCCGCGGGGTAGAAAAATTTGGCGGGCGTAGAGTAAACATTCAGCGGATAGATACATGTATGCAGAGGACGCGCTGCGCGACGGCAACGTCGCGGAAAATTCATCGTTCGCTTTGTTTACATGTATTTACAATCGTACCAAAGGCGACGAGGCTACCCGCTGCACCATGCACATTCTCCGATGTGCATTAAACTCGTACGAGACATGACAAGCGGCTTCTAGAAACGAACGGGTTGCGTTGTCGCTCCATAAAACCGGTTACGACGGTTACGGAGCAGTCCGAATAATGCGTGCTCGTTCCGTAAATCGACAATTGCATGGTGAAACGTTTCTTTTAAAAAATTGTCATTTTAGGCGATATCTTCGGATACGGCATTTAACCCGGTTCGGCGCCGCCTGATAATGTAATTCAAGATCGTATCGAGCGCGTGGAAATCTGTCAATTCGCGCGCGCCCTCTGCGGCGGCGGGTGGGCTCCGTCACTCCCGTGCACCGCGGCTGTTGCTGTCCCGGTCGCGCGCGCCCACGTGCGCGTGACGTCACGCGCGCGTCGCCCCGCCGACGTCACGGAACGCCCGCGAACCCCGCGCCCTCCGTCACCCGATGCGGGCCGTATTGAAGCCCTACCCCGTTGCTGGCTGGGCCACTTCGCACCACGTTAACACTCTTTCCGTTTTATGATATTAATCCCATTATACGGGTATTCTTCTGATTATCCGTGGAATAAAACACCATGTTTACCACTTAACTCATGAAGTCGTAAAAAGCAACAGTTCATCGATGAACTTTTATTGGCTGTGTTTATTGTGCGCTAACAGAGGTGTGCATATATAAATAACTTAAGTGACCCCGCAGCAAACTACATTATAATAAAATGATACGGTCATTACTCGCGAATTTAACTTAATCATGGAATTGATATAAGATTAC